GGCAGCCGGCTCTGTGTGGCCCTGCTGAGCAGGGGGTGGGACCAAGCGGCCTCCAGAGGTTCCTTCCGACCTCAAATGCTCTGTGATTCTGAGATAAGGGGGTTGAGGTCCCGAGGAGATGCAAGGGCTGGGCTGAGCCCTCTGTAGGGGTGTGACTGTGCAACAAATGCAGCTACATTTGGCATCGCACAGCCGTGTGTGATCACACCTCCCTCGCTGCGTGCAGCGCTGTAAAAATGTGAAATGGCTCAGTAATCCTTCTCCTGCTGTTTTGGTGTAATTTCTGTCTTTATGCTGTGTGTTTTTTCTTTGCTTGCTTCCTCCTTTCACCTTCCTCAGAGCAAACTTCCGTGACTCTTATTGTTCTGCTTGTTTTCATTCTCCTTCTTGGGCAAATGTATCTTTTTTTTTCTTTTTTTTTCTTTTTTTTTTTTTTTTAGCATAGTTTCCTAAAGCTCTGCAAGACCCTCTTTCCCTGCTGCATTTTGAAATATCAGTTGCAAAGAAAAAAAAAAAAAAGGGAAGAAATATACTTAATTCAGGTTCATGTCTTCTTTTATCTGTTTTTCTTTTTAAAAATGACTAAAGCCACTGATAAATAATGCTAATTTTTGGTGCCATCTGTGAACGCAGAACCAAGCTGTTTCAGAGCAGCGTTTTTTTAGTGCTTTTATCTGTTCGGAGGGGAAGGGGGAAAAAAACCTCTTTGCATTAGCAGCAGCAACCTATCTCCCACAAGCTGTAGTCTGTGCTCCCATCTACCACTAAAACCCAAAGCAAACAAAGATTTCGTGCAGAGACAGGAAACCTTTTGGGTGTAATTGCCGGGAGGTCTTTGGCTCTCCCGATTTTTTTGGGTCCGCGCAGCCCAGCGGTGCTGGGTTTGTTGTGAGCTCTCACCGTGCTCCTAATTCGGGGGTTTTTGGCAGCTCCGTGGGCTTCTAAACACCCTCGGCAAGAGCCTCCTGGCCACGCTGAGCGAAAGAATGTCCCGGGGAGGGAGGGAGGGAGGGAGGGAAGGGGCCAGTGAGCGGAGGCACAGCTGAGCTACGCCCTGATGACAGCCCTGCCCCCAGGCTCCTTTATTTTGGCCTCCAGCCTTCCTTTACATAATCCTGCCCTGATCCCTTCTCCTTCTGCAAGGACTGGAGTCAGAGGACCCTCCAGTTTAACCAGATCGATCTGGGAAGCAGCTCCCTCCCACCATCCGAGCCAAGGGGTGGTGGTGTCGGTGGAGTCAGTTGGCTCTGGAGGTATCAGAAGACCTCACCAGTACCTGGACTTGATTTTAAGGCTCCTTTGAAGGCTGGAAAATAAAAAATTACATGTTGAATATGGTCTGGAAAACTATGGAGCAGGTCTGGCTCCTGGGACCTGTGTGTTGAATAGGTGATGGTGCCACAGAACCCCACATGGGTGAGGTCTCTCCTGCAAAGTCCTTGTGGTGTTTTTGGGTGTGTTTGTCTCTGGGTCGTGTGAGATTCCCAAACCAGAATTGGGCTGTGATTTGGGATCACTTTCCCATACCAGAATTAGGCTGTGATTTAGGATCACTTTCCCAAACCGGAATTAGGCTGTGATTTAGCATCAGGTCTTTGGGGAAGCTTGTCACGGTGGTGTGTAATAGAGTAATAAAACCTTAACTGCTTTGCTTTAGTGTGTCAAATGACTCATTTACAGTATCATCTGGGAGAGATGAGGCTCTGGAAGATAAGTAAGACTTACATGGGGAGGGAATATTGAGTAATGGACCCACAGCTATAATTGGAGGGGGAATAGATCTTCTATTTCAGAGCTGAGGAAGTGGTTTATCTGCCCAGTCTGTAAGTAAGTGATACTTCTCTCAACTTCCTCCACATATTCTCCACTTCCTATGTGTAATAATCCCGATATAAATAACTGCTTCACTGAATCCTAGAGGCAGATACTGCCTGCACTTCCCTATTATATAGAATTTGAGGTCCAACAGGTCGGTGCATAGTCCTGCCCTTCTGGGAGAAACAAATTGATATGGAGGCAGGGAAAACATCGTGTCCCTATAAAGTAACCCCCCCCCTTCCCTATAGCTGACCCCCATCCATGTGTCAATGTAGAGCACCATCCCACAGGAAGCCAGGGAAGTGGCAGACAGACATACAAAGGATTATTATATTTGATCAGGCTTGGAAATGGGCTGGAGATAAAGCCCTTGGTGTTTGCTGGACCATTAAACATTTATTATCATCTCTCCCAGTGTGCTGGTAGCTGTAAATAACAGCTGTGATGAAAGAGTGGGGTCAGCAGTTGCCTTTTGCACCGATGTTTGTTAAATGGAGAAGCAGATCCTGTGATTTTTAAGAGTTTTTTTTGGGGGGGAAGCATCTGCCCAGATGCCTGGGAGAGAAGGCATGGGATGAGCTGGCAGCCTGGAGCTCTCCCTTATCACGAGGAAATGCCGAAATCTTAGGAAGTGGGAGAAATCAAACAATAAAAAAAAAAAAAAAAAAAGATTAGGGCCAGAGTTAGGAGTTCATTTATCCCTGCCCTTCCTAACAAAAACACTTAATGCCCTCGGATCAGAACAGCTTTTGGATCTGGGTTTAATTAGGTGGAAGGAGGGTTCATGCCTCTCGTGCATTTCCATCAGTGGACTTTTATTTCCCTTCTCCCCCCCTTTCCCGAGCTTTGGCAGGGAGAGGAGAAGTGTTGCTGCAGGGCTGGGACCCATCTCCTGGGGTCTGAGCTGCAGCACCTGGTCGGATGATGGGGCTTTTTTGAAAGGGGGAATATGAAGGGATTACTCTGTTGCCGGGAGGCCACAGCCCGGTGATTCCTACCGCAGGCGATCCCTCTGAAGTCAATGAGATTGGAAAGCGTGTAAATCAGTATGGAATTTGGCGTTTTCCTGGAAAAGTAGGGGGGGGGATATTTGTTCTACTTGCATATAAATCACTTCTAACAAGGCTCCACGGACCTGACTGATCCTTCTCATCACACCGTTGCTCCTGCCAGTCCCAAAGTGACTCTCTCGCCGTCCTCTCGTTTTTTTAAATAATTTTGTAAAAAAAACAGCTCCTGCATGGGAATTCTCTGTGGCTGTTGCTGGGAGTGACTCAGGCGGGAGCGAGTCCTCCTCGTGCGCTCGGGGACCTGCGGTGTGAACGGAGAAAGGAGACGGGCTTGTTTTCACACTCCCTCATTTTGAGTCCCTGACATGTTCCTGTTCCACCATTTGGATGTCGTCAGGCTGAGGGATAATTAGAGGGAGCCTGTTTTGCTGCAGAGCCGGATCGGGAATCGGCGTTGCCATGAGCAGGGCCGGGTTATTTGTTGGGGAATGCAAAGCGGTGGAGTGGGAGTCCAGGGAGCTCAACTGAACCACCAGGGGAGAGGATGCTCTGCTGCTTCCTCCCTGTGTCTGCAGAATTTCTTTTCTAAATCCTTTTTACATCTTAAAATAAATAAGTTCGTAGAATCACAGAATGGTTTGGGTTGGAAAGGATCTTCAAGACCATCTAATTCCAGGCTGTGGGCAGGAACACCTTCCACTATCCCAGGTTGCTCCAAGCCCCATCCCACCTGGCCTTGAACACTTTCAGGGTTGGGGCAGCCACAGCTTCTCTGGGAATTCCATTCCAGTCCCTCCCCACCCTCACAGGGAAGAATTTCTTCCTAATGTGTAAGAATTCCTTCCCAGTATCTAGGAATCCTAATACCTAAAGTGATCATCCCATTTGTCAAATGCAGATTTAGAACCTGGCATTGAGATGGAGCAGGGATGTTGGTTCTTTCAGTGGTTCTCTGCAGCCCAAAGGTCTCCCATCACCTACACCCAGATGTTTAAGGGAATCCTGGGAGCTGCTCTTGGAGCTCTCTGACATCAGTTCTGCTGCCTGGGTGCTGGTGGGTGGTTTGGGTGCTGTGCACTCACCCTCTGTGAGAGGACTTTAATGCTCTAATAAAGAACCAAAACAAAGAGCATCAGCTTTTCTCTTGCTGCCTTGAGGAGGATGCCAAATTTTGCCAGATGCGTTCCACCAGCATAGGTGGTTTCAGCTATTTGAGACATGGCCTTGCCCTATAAAAATGCATCTTGCCTTGTTTGTGCATTGTGCAGCCTGTGGAAAATGTGACCAGCTTGGGTCTGAAAACGAAATCTAAAACTGGAAAAGTCCTACAGAAAGTAACTGAGGAGCCAAATATACATAACTGAATAACTGAGGAGAGAACCAGGTCCCATGAAGCTGGTTGCCAAGGGAATAATTCACTCGTCCCTCCCCCAGCCTGCTGAAATAGTTATTGTTTTCCTCTCCTCCCTGCCAGCATACCCACAGCTCCAGAAGAGCCACCTCTCACTCCTGTACATGCTCTAGCTGATACATCCCTAATTCCATTTCAGGGCCGTTTTCATGAGCAGAGCATAGCTTGGAAGGCACCTTCCCCCTTTCCAGGCCTCCAGAAGAGCTGATGTGGATGAAAGGCTCATCCCCTTTTCCCACTGATGCTGTCTGGCCCTGCTCCTGCCCACAAACCTTCCCTTCCCCAAGAAAAGAGAAAATAAGGTCGTTTTTAAGGCAGTGATCTAGTTTTGGATGTAAAATCTGGGAGAAATGGAGATCTTTCCAGCTTCAGGCCAAGTGATGTATGTTCCCTGTCCTCTCAATTTATGGCTGATTTCTTTGTTGTTCATTAGCTCCTGGTGTATTAGCAGGCTGCTTAAACTTGGGTTATTCCCCAAATCCCTTGAGCTGTGGTCTTCAGTGTTCTTCTTGACCACCTCCATGCCTTCTGCAGGCTGGTGTTCCTCCAGCTGTGCTCGGAATGCTTGGATAAACTTATTTTATATGGAGCCTACATTAGTGTCTGGGGCAATCTCAGTTATGTGGGGCCATCCCGGTTATCCCCAATAAAACTCAAGTAGCCAGAGCAGTAAAAAGTCTGTTTGTTTAATACGAGTGATGTGTGTGAAATGACTCCCTCGTCTTGGCACAAACCATTCACTGGGTGTTCCTCTTTTGCAGGGAGCATCGGGAATACTCCTCAGCCTTAATAAGGATTGATTGTTTACTCCTCACCCTCGTCCCGGTTTGGTATTAATCGGAACAAGCTTTGACCGTCGCCTTGGGGAGGTGAAGAGGTGAATGAACGTCCCTTTTAAGGTACAGTAGGAGCATTAATGAGGTGTTTTTGGGTATGGAGGTGGTACTGGTGTAAGTTGGAGGTTCCAGGGCGTACAGCTTCCTCGTGGATTCGCATCCCTCAGCCTTACAGGGCGAAAGCTGCGCTCCGTCGTTCCCTTGTCTGACCTTAATGAGCGTGGTCTTTTTAAACTGTGGGGGGGTGTTGTCTTTGTTTTGGTGCAAACTTGAACAAGTCCAGCTTTTTTTTTGTTTATTTACTCAAAAGAATCTTTCGTTTTTGAAACTTGTAGGTTTTGTAGTGAGATGTGTAGAGGTTGGGCATTGATATTTGCGCTGTTTTGAGGGCTTTTCTTAAGGCTTTTTTTCTTCTTGTCTACAGTAACCAGCATTAAACTGAAATACACTGACCTGTGCTCTTCCCTTGGCACAGATAGGCACGGAATTCTGGCATGAGTGATTTATTAAGGAGAAGGGAAAGAAAAAGCCCCGAGTCTTTTTGAGGAAAGGATGGTCATGGAGTAAGAAGGAGCATTTACTCAAGGCACTGGTGAATTAAAACCCCAACATCCATCAGGGAGTTTGTGGGGAAGTTTTTCTGGTCAAAGTTCTTCCCGTGGTCTGACTTGAGGAAAAGACTGGGGAATGCTTTTAAAAATTAAAGATAAAAAACCTTACTGTCAGATTTCTCGTTGGGTATTCCAGAGGACTCCTTCCAACCCAAACAGATTCGGTGCTAGGACAGTGCTGCTGGAGTAGCAAACGGAGATGTGCGTGTGAGACCTGGTGATTCATATAATCAGGGTCTTTTCTTAAAGCATTTCTTGTTGCTGTGGCTCCCACAGATTCACCCTGTCTGGTGGAGAAGTTTGTATTTGTGGTTTGATGTTTCCCTAATGCCTGTACACAGGGTCCTGCCAACACTGCCCTGCTTCACAAACCTGACCAATTTACGGTTTCATATAAAAATTCTTTGAACTCTTTGCAAACCTGGTGTGGGAACTCCGTGCCAAACTGAAACCAATCCTGACTTTTAAGCATGACTAAATCCTTCCTTTCGAATTTGTCTGATACTTAGGGAAGAGTTTCAGTTCTGTTTGTGTGTGTTTCTCTCTGGACTTCACTGAATTTCCTGTTGTGTTTTGCTACATGTATTTTTAAGGTGTCTTTTTTTTTTTTTTTTTTGCTCTCTTTTTGATTTGGGCAAAACTGCTATTGAAGAAAACAGGTGAATCAATCCCAGTAATTGGGGCTGTCCTGTGCAGGGCCAGGAGTTGGACTTGGATGGTCCCTGTGGGTCCCTTCTAACTCAGGATATTCCCTGATTCTGATTCACTGAGGAGTGGCCAACTGTCCTAGAAGAAGGACTTTGTGTTTGGTGCCTTCTTTCTCCGTAGCTGGCCCCAGAAAAGGATTAAGTTCAACAAGACTAAAGTCAGAGATCCAGAAGGAGTTTGTGTATGGTGCTCAGCGTGAACATTAATAGCCCAAACTCCATTTATTACTCAATTTTTGATGGTATAAGAAAAACCTTTTTAGAGCCACAAGAAGATTCCAGGGTGTTTGTTGTACCAGGAGCCTCTTGACTCCTGTGGGCCACTGGAAAGGTGTTTGGGGCTGAGTTTTGTCTCCCTCTGAAACAGGGGTTATGAAATAGCCAGTAGCTGGAAGGGCTTGAGCACCCTTTTATGCCTGTGTTTCATTATCCGTCACTTCCTGATTCGTGTCACAGGGCCAGAGCATTCAGGTTGGGATTATGTGGGGGAAAACTAATGCATGAAGCCTGTACAAAGCTGTCCACTCAGATGGATCGCTGGATTTCTGGGCTTTGTTTTGCACGGGTCACATTCACTTGTCACAAGTTGCTGTCCTCTTTTTGTCAGCCATTTCAGCAGTGTCACACATTTATTCCAGCTCAGACGTAGCACAGGCTGTGTAGCAGTAGTGGTGCTACTTGTGGCAGTGCTGGGAGCTTGTGTTTGCAGAGGAGACTTCAAAGTTTAGCTCTGAAACCTCCAGTATATCCTGAAAGGTTCTGCTTGGGTAATTGGAAAGCTTGGGATCCCCAACACTGTGGTGCTCCTGGGTCTGGTGGCACCTCCGAGTAGGGGTCACGGTGGTCTCAAATCAAAACTGGCTGAATTGAAAACACCAGAGGAGGGGAAGGAGGGTGGGAGGTAGGAACAGACCCACTACCAAACTGTCCCAGAGAGAGAGTGGGAATCACAGAGTCTTTGGCTTGGAAGGGACCTTTAAAGGTCATCTCGGCAGGGACATAAAATCATAGAATCAGGGAATGGTTTGGCTTGGAAGGAACCTGAAAGACCATCTCATTCCAACCCCCTGCCTTGGGCAGGGACACCTTCCACTAGACCACGTCACTCCCAGCCCCATCTAACCTGCCTTTCCTACCCAGGGATGACTGCACTGGCTCTTTAACAGCCTGGTGTTCCAGGGTTTTGGTGTCTGTCCCACTTACCCCACTGGACAGGACAGTTTCACCAAGCCATGGTTGGGTTCACTCAGATTTTTCCACCATAATTACTTTCATGATCCCAACAGGTTCCAAGAAAGGGTAAGGGGGAAGTGTCCTTGATGACATGCAAGACTTGCATTGAGAACATTTAGGGGGGAGGGTCTCATCTCCCCCCCAAACCTTAGGCCACCAGACCTGCCTTAGGCTTGCAGAAACAGTTGTGTTTAGAGAAATCAAGAACCTTGTTCAAAAGCACCGTAATTTCTTTGGAAACTCAGCTTTCAAAGTCCACAGAGAAGCCACTTCTGCTCCCAGCAGTGGGTCAGAAGCTGCGTTTTTGGGATTGCTGCCAAGGAAGGTTTTTTGGGAACTCTTCCGCGTGTGGTGCGAGCAGCGGGACGGGAGGTCTTGATTTGAACTCTGGATGGTAAAACCACAAAGGTTTTAGCAGGGAGTGTTTGGATGCCTCGTTCTTGGCCTTTCCTGTTTGGGTGAACCCCTGCCTGGGCTGGCTCAGAAACTTCCATCTGACTTTGTAGCAAAACTGAATTTTCCACTGAGTAGGAAAGTTTTTGGGGATTGAAGCAACTCTCTGCTTTTTTGGATGGAATTCTCCAAGCTGTTGACTACACCCAGTCTGTATTCATGAATTAAACTAGTCCTGAGCCTTCCCTGCAAGGGCAAGAACTTTCATAGATTCACAAAATGGTTTGGGTTGGAAGGGACCATCAAGACCATCTAGTTCCAAGACATGGGCAGGGACACCTTCCACTATCCCAGGTTGCTCCAAGCCCCGTCCAATCTGGCCTTGGACACTTCCAGGGATGAGGCAGCCACAGCTTCTCTGCCCAACCTGTGCCAGGGCCTCACCAACCTTGAATTTTCCAGAAATTTTCCTTAAAGCTCATGTCCTTTTTCCATATTTGCCCTCTCTGTAAGAGGGGATGGTGCTGTACGTCACCTGTCTGCCCGTGATTCACCAACACCTTGGATTGACTAAAAACCACTTGGAGAAACTTTAAAAATTTAAGTGGAGAAGGGAGGAAAATCTCTTTCTTACTGCAAAGGCCAACTCATCGTGGTTTTTTTTTTTTTAAATCCCTGTGAGAGCAATTTGTCAGAAAACACTGTGGGAAGCTGAGCCTGTTGGAGCCAAGCTGAGCTTGAGCACTCCCTTGGTTCGAGCTCCTCCATATCACCAGCAGGAGCAAAAATCTTCTTATCAGTGGCTATACAGGATAAGAAGGAGAATTTCCCAAAGGATGGGCTTCCTCCCTAAGTTTCATTCTCCTCTCAGAAGGCCCTGAGAAAAGCAGACACGCTGGGAAGTTGGGAGCTCCAGACAAGTAGGTGCACGCACCGGGGTGAATACTCACCTGTAGGTACTCGGAGAGCTTTCCCAAATCGCCCAGAACCTGAGAAAATGGAGATAAAATCAAAAGGCAATTGCAGTTAATTATGCTTTCAAGGCAACTGGAGATTGGTTGGAATCCTGTGGGATTTCTGAGGCCTCCCAGTGCAATTTCAGGCTGAGTGCGGGGAGGAAGGTTTGGTTGCTGTGGTTGTAGATGTCTCAGTTGTGTCTGTCACCTATTGCTGGTGTTGGATGAGGGCAGCTTTGGGGCTGTGGACGGCACAGATGTCACCTCACAACTCCATGAGTTACCTTCTCATGTCAAATTCTTCTTAGAGATTTTGGGTTTAGATTTTTAAAAAAAAAAAAAAGAAAAGGAACAAAAGAAGCATTTTTTGCATGATTTGACTTCATTGTTCTCCTTCCGCCCACATATTTTCCCATTTCTTCCCATCCTCACCAAAATCTGGCCTGCATTTTGTGTTCTGGGCACTGGGAAAAAGCCACATTCCAAGAAGTCTTTGGCTTGTAGAGGAATTGGGATATGACCAACCTCCAACAAAGGCCAGATGTTGGATGTTCAAGAGGCTGCAGGTAAGCTGATGTGGGGTAACAGACGTAGAAATCCATCATGACAGTTAAAGGTCTTGTTTTCTATGGTGTGAGCTTGGGAAACAAAGGAAGAGCCTTACCTTAATTCCAGAAAAAACAGAGTCTTGAGGGATTCAACAATGGGAGATAACAAAAAACAGCTGTACAGGAGAGTATTTCTTGCTGTGCCCTTTTGCTCCTGTGGGAACCGAGGCCGAGAAGTGCTCCCCTAATTTCAGAATTTTGCCTGGCCCAGCCTTTGGGTCTACAAACGCTTTGCAGCAGTGGCCCCATCAAACGAAATTCATCAGTGAAACAGCACTGCATGTTTTTTGGTCTGTTCATGTGAGTGTTTGTTCAGGGCCGGACTTCACCAGCAGGAGCACGTGGTGTTATTAAAAAGATAACGCAGGGCTTGTTTTTATTCCCTTAAGATGGCAAATCTTTCTTCAAAGAGCCATGAATTAAACAAGACAGTGCCTCACAGCGGGTATTAAGGAAAAAAATAATAATTAAAAAAAAAAAGCCCTTGGAATGGTCTTTCCCTCTGGCGTCTTCGCTCAGGTTCTGCAATCAGTAATTCAAAGGAGGTTTTGTGGG